AGCCAGAGATCCCAGTTGGGAAAGGGGGCAGAGGCTTTCCCACCTCGTGCTGGCCAGCTCTCTCTTCCTGTCACCCCATCGGAGTGAACAGCGTCCCCTGTCTTTATCTCTGTCCTGGGGCACAGGTGGAGGCCAGGAAGGTAACTAGAGAGGCTGGTCACTGAAGCCACATCACAGAGTGTCACTCTAGCACATTTCAGGATCCTCTTCTGTCACCTTACCTCGTTTCATCATCATCACAACCTGCAAAGTGGTGAAGATAGAAAATTTATCCTGCCTCTGAGAGTAGGAAAACGGCCCCCACAATAGAGGTAACTTCTGCCTGTGGGTTACAGAACTTGGAGGATGAAAGGAAGCAGGCATGTGGCCCACCCTCGCCATCCTGACAGCTCTACTAAGCACTGGCCATAGCGCACCCTGAGGGCTGCTTGCCGCATGTCGGCACAACTCCTGCTCGCTCCCCAGCCCGGGGCTTCGCAGACACCCAGGCGATTGAGTTGAGAACTCAGTTACACATGCAGCCCACTGCATCTCTCCTCAAGGGCAGGAGCAGCGTTAATGCTGAGGCCTGTGACACAGCCTGCCGACGTCAGTCCGGGAGGCTGGCTGACGTCAGTTGTGACACGTAATTGCTTGTTTTTGGCCGAATAACAAGAGGAAAGTTACCGTGAAGGGACTGTTTGGAGCCCTCCTCAGCATGGCGGGGGGGATGGGAGCAGGGTGTGGCCTGCACCCAGCCTGGGTGATGGTGTGTTCTCCTCCAAGCTGGCTAAGAGTACTAATGCTTTTACCAGTCTGTTCTGCAAATCGTAGAAACGGCAGGGGGTGGGAGTGGCGGCCGGCGGATCTTTCAAGAAAAGGGAGGCACAAAGAAATACAAATGGGGAGTATTTTTGCCTTAGTTGGTTAAGACCCACTGGAGGTCAGAGTTCTTTCCCCCAAATTCTTAATCTTCCCAGAGGGTCCAGAAGTAGATCTTCCATCTCAGTGCTACAGCGTGTTACTGAAAACAGGATAGGAGCTTGAAAATACACCTTTCTTTCAAAAAAGCATACAACGCCTGAATGCCTCTTCTCAAGCTGGTAATGGTTTCTAGGGCCCGTGCCCTGTATAAAGGCAGAAGGAGAGAGCCCAGGGAGCCCGGATGCTAGATGCTCAGTGAGAATCATGGCTGAGGAATGCTTCGTTGTGCCCCTGTAAAGCTGTTCTTTTCAGCAGCATGCTTAGGAAATCGGGACACACTCACAGTGAGTGAACTTCTGCAGTTATCCAAGGCCTGGCTAGTACCGTCTCAGGAGCTGCTTCCATCTCACCTCTGTGGCTGGTTGTGGTGGACAGATAGAGGATGTAGCATGTCTCAGGAAGTAGAGCACTCTGACCAGTGGTATGTCTTCGGTCTGGTAATTGATGGTAAAGAAGATACCATCATCCTTATTTGAAAGAAGTCAATTAAAACATGTCTCCAGTGACCAAGCTGAGCAGAACCAGAAGGAAACAGATGTATTTTGTGACTTCCCCTGAGTAGAAAGCTAGAAGCATTAGCAGTTTGGTGGATGAACTGATAACTGTTGAAGCTGGGTAATGGGTATGTGGAGGTTTGATACACTATCATCTCTACTTTTATATACCTGAAATTCTCCATAATGGGTTAAGTCCGTGGAAAATGGCATCTGCTTTGTGAAATTAGAAAATATAAAACCAGAAATATTTCTAAAAAAAATTGGGGGCAGTTTTATTAGAGATAATAAATGGAAAAGCTGCCTCTAAATCTTTAAGTTAACAAGGTAGAAAAGTCCTTCCCTTAATACCTTTTACATTGAGTCATTCCCACTGCCTGGCACCTAACAACACAGAGGCAATTTTTTTTTTCTTTTTTTAAAGACATCCCCAGGAGCACATTTCTTCCTATGTATACAACATAATAACTGAATACGGTACAATGTATCTGCAAGCATTTATCGCATATTCATTATATGCCAGACACTTATTAAGCCCTAATGATGGAAGTCATTGACTTTAAAGAGCTTACATTCTAGGAGGGGAGCTAGACATGCAAGTAAAATGAAGCACAGCATGATTACCAAAACAACAGGACGATAAGTAAGGGATGCAGCTAGCGTGGAGAGAGGGGCTGTGATTTCTAGCTTCCCCGTGGGTAGGGGAAGTACGTGCAAGGGTCTCCTGGTGGTTTGTCCAAGTTGGGGGTTCAGGGTGGAGTGGGCCACTCATCCTATTCCTTCTGCCTTATTTCACTGAATTCTCTGGACTCATTGATCTGTCAAAATACAGTAAAACATCTGTTAAATGAATTGTCCCTCTGGATTTTTTTTTAATTGAGATATTACATGCAGAAAGTACATGTTAAGCACACCACTTGATTAATTTTTGCATGTAAATTACGTTCCCATGTAACTACTAGATTAAGATAGAACATTTTCAGCACTCCAGAAGACTTTCTCTCCTTCCCTCTTTCAGTCCATATCATCTTACAGATGTAACCAGTACTCTGACTTCTAGGACCATAAAATTAGTTTTACCTCTAGCCTGAACTTTGTGTTAACAGGTGAACTTGTGTTAACCTTTTATATCTGGTTTCTTTCATACACGTTAGGTCTGTGAGGTTCATCCATGTTCTTACAAATAAATAAGCTAAAGTTCCTTTTTTCATTGCTGTGTAGTATTTTATTGTGTGAAAATACAATTTATCCATTCAGTTGATATTTGGGATGTTTCCTGTTTGGATATTATAAATAATGTCTTTTGTTGGATGTAAGCATTCATTTCTCTTTTCACTCAAGAGTATAATTGCTGGGTTATAGGATATGCTTATGGACAGAGAACTTTAGGAGAGGTGGTGCCCCTCTGGGGGTTTTCAGCCGTCTTGCTGTATTCAGGGGTCTGAGCTGCCACGTGACCTGTACTGTGTTTTTGTTTTCCCCTTGCTCTACCCCAAGCCACAGTGTTGAACAAAAGTAATGATTAGAAATCCAGAGACAAGGTGCAGTTGTGTGAGATGGAGTATCAGTAATCCTCGACTTCAAACGGAAAGTCTCCAGTGACCTGTTCTCACAGGACAGTTTTGTGACCTCCGTCGTGCCAGCCTCAGTTCCATTTTCTAAACACTTGAAAAATTTCGAAGGGGATGGAAAACAAAACTTGGTGGGAAGGCCTATTCCTAAATAGCGAAGGTTTGGGCTAAAGAACTAGGCTAGACTTGAAAGAGAGAACAATTATTTGATTCCAGGCACAATCTGCAGTACTAGCCTCACAATACAAAGTGAGGAACAAGATAAATAGAACTTGCACCTCGCGGGGAGGCAGAGCAGCGACACAGTCCGCAGTGGGGAGAGCTGTGGGGGCAAAGCACTGTAAAGAAACACGCTGCCGTTTTCATTCACACTGCACACAGCGCTCTGTGACTACTTATGCTACTGACACCAGATGCAGCGGTTTTCCACACATCAGGCAATTCTGCAATAGCAGCTGGGTGTCCTGTAATTTAACTCCATTCCCACACTGTCTCCCTGGTGATAGCATCAGATCCCACAGGTTAAGGGCTCAGGCCCACAAGAATGTCTGCACTTCAGATGCCCATTGCAAGTCCAGCTTCTTACCTGTACTTCTGACCTATAAATGGAAGTTTCCACTACCTCCCTCCTCGGGTTCAGTTAATTTGCTAGAGGGAACAGCATGAGCAAGGACCCAGAAGCTAAAGAAAGAGCCAGACATATGCAGAGAACTTGGAAATATTTTAAATTCACCAAGGCTGAAGCATAGTGTTTAGGGAGAGAGTTGTAGCAAGAGATGAAGCTAGAAATATAAGCAGGTAGGTACCAAGTCATAAAAAGCTTTAAAAGAGGGCTCCTGGGTGGCTCAGTTGGTTGAGCAACTGCCTTCGGCTCAGGTCATGATCCCGGAGTCCCGGGATCGAGTCCCACATCGGGCTCCTTGCTGAGCAGGGAGCCTGCTTCTCCCTCTGACCCTCCCCCCTCTCATGTACTCTCTCTCTCTCATTCTCGCTCTCTCAAATAAATAAATAAATCTTTAAAAAGAACGACAGCAGCCAGTGTTTCTGAGGAATCGGCCTTTTTCAGACTGAACTAATCACATTTCATAGACTGTCTCATTTAATACTCGACATCCTTAAAACCTAAGTACGTTATTACAGACGATCAAATAATCAGGGAAGGTAAGTAAGTGGCCCAGGCCACAGACCTATGCAGTGACGGGTCCAGGTCTCAGACGCATAGCAAACTGATCCAAACCCATCCCCCTAACCACTCCTGTGGATACTACTTGAGAAGCCATGCTCTATCCTCTTAGGAGCTCAGCTTCTTGTGTGTAATACTGTTACTGCTTTAGAGGCATCACTTAGGATAGTGTTTCTCCAAAGAGAGTAAGTTCATGGATCTTTCGTTATTGACTTAAATCAGCCAAGTTATTTAAATGTGTGCAAACTTAAAACTAGTATAAACTCCTGGTACTTATACTGCTCATACATGGAAGTGAATATGCCAGTTAAGACAGAGAAAACTTTAATAAAATGCAAATTAAGTAGCATTGATTTAATGTGCCCGCTGTTTTGCTGAAATGGCCACTGACGCTGCGGGCGTGTGGCGCTGACACTACAGCACAGCTTTTCCTTCAATGCCCTTTTCGGCTTGGCACTCTGTGGAGACCCCGCCTCCCCACGCCTCTTCTCTCAGCTCCCCGGAGACCGGACTACTGTTTGGCTCCATTCACGGGGTGGTGTCAGCAGGATTGAAATACATACGAGAGGCTCTAAAATACAGTTTCTGTATTTTAATGTGGCTTGAATTCAAAATAATAAAAATGTTCCAGACTCATTAAGATGAGATTCAGTCTGGACTGGAATTTGGTCTCTGAGTAAGAGTGGGAAAGGGGAGCTGTGAGGGGAGTGTTCGCTGGCTTTTGAGGGTTTTACTAAAGTTAGGCTTCGTAGAGACTTTTCTTAACTTCGGTTTTCTGCTGCTTCACAGGCGTCGGCACTAGGAATTATTACAGAAAGATTGGCTACAGATTACAAGGGCCATACATGGTAAAGACACTAAAGTGATGGCCACACCAGCCCACCTTGATGCAGTATCCTCCCTGGCAGAAAATAAAAATTCAAGATATTTTGAATACTCGGGAGAGAGGCTGAGCTAAACAAATGGACCCACCCTGGCTCCCTGGCAAGGAGCTTCACCCTCATCCTACAGCTGTGGAGACTGGAAACTACTTTCGGGGCCAGGCCGGACGTCTGCTGACCAAGCCCACCAAGCTTCTGATGCTCAGAGCTCCCACTCGCCCTCTCCTGCGTGTTCTCAAGTCACGTGTCCAGTTTCTATAAGTCTGCATGAAGCCTGCAATTGACCTACTTTGACTCACGGACAGTGACGAAAGCAAATTAACTCATTTGGACACATTATTCATGAAATAAAACTAGCTATTGTCATGTGAGGAATAAACTTAGGAGTAGGTTATTTATATACCGTAGGGACAAAAAGGTTGGAACATAGGAAAACTGTTAGACTTTGATCTCTGGCCTTTTATACACATTCTGGCACAAGAAAAATGAGCTTTTTTTTTTTTTTTTAATGGAAATCACTCTGATTCCTGTGATGTTTGAAATAACAGTGTGATGGGGAGAGAGGAACCAAAGTTGTCGGTTGGTGTTTCAAGCTTAAAACCAGCCTTTCTCACTTGGGAGTCTGCCATCTACAATGGGCTGTTACAAGCACCCTTTATTTCACATTTTTTCTTGTCTGTAGTCCCTACACTCTTGACCCCTACAAAGCAGGAGGGCAGCACTGCTGCCAGAGAAGTGTTTGGCTTCCCCTCTTGTCTGTCCTGAGCAGGCAGAGTCTGACATGCCCCCGTCCAGGCATGCGTAGCCCTGAGTCCAGATGCACTTCGACAGAAGCCGTTTCCTGCCTTGTAATTCTTTAAGATGGGCTTTGGTTTGCTTTAAATGAAGAAAGGTAAGAGCTCAACTCCTCTGAAAACAAAAACGTGGGAAACGAGCCCAAATCGAAAAAATAGGAAAAAGATTGGCTTTTTCAAAGTTTCATATTCTAGAAGTGCCTCTTTGTAACTTCCAGGTAATCTGCAAAGGAGACTCCACCTGGAGAGGGCCAATTCTTAAGACTATGGCTTAACTCCGTGCCCCCTGGCTTCTGGGGCATTTTACAAAGGTTTAGTAAATGGAATTGATTCCCCTGAAAGATTCGAGAAGTAAAATCTTCAGCCTACAGAGAAGAATCATGTAAGGTGTTTTTCTTCTGCCTGTTACACATGTAGTGACATTACTATGAATCCGTGATGCTGTTTACTTCCTCCTGGGTGCCACGTGCCATCTCATTCGGCTGCCACACGGCACCGGCATTCTCGGGGGCGCGCCGTGGGGCTACAAAGGCTTGCCACACCTGTAATTTAGCTACTTCTCAGTTGTGCTTGTTTTTCCTTTAAAAATAAAACCATTAAACTAACTGCGTGCACACTAGCTGTTAGCACATGTAACTGGGGGTGACGGAATGGAGAGCGTGCTGGCCCAGGCTCGCCTCTGCCTGCAGTGTGACCACGGCTTACACAAGCGTTTCTGGGCCTCCAGGTGCTCATCCTTAATATCCCGCTGCCCTAAAGGGATCTACATGTGTAAAGTACAAAGGGGTCCCTTGTAAAATTGTAAAAAGGCTTATTTTAAAATGATGATTTAGAGCAAGATTTTAAAACAAAATCACCAGGGAACGTGCCCATTTCCAGTGGCTATCAGCCAGTGTTCCATCTGGATTTTCCTCTCAGGGCTCAGGAAAATACCTCTTTCTTTCTAGCTCGTCCTCAGCCTTCTTTGGAGTGGGTCTTCTAAGCTTGGGTAAAAGGTGCAGAACCTTTAAAGCTACATGGGAGAGACAGGGCACAGGCAGAACGCCAGCAGCCTTTCTGCCACGAGAAGCTTCAGCTGCTCTTCCGACTGCCCAGGGCTTTTCCTGGCGTGTGGGGTGCTTGGCGCCTCCACAGCCTGGCCAGCCTGACCCCTCAGTCCCATGGGCCACTTCCTGAGAAGGGTCAGTTGGGCGGGACCCTGCCGGTCTCAGCGTGGGAGCTTTAAAGCTTGTGTTTCTGATCTCTATTGAACAAACCTTAGCAACCACCTCAAACCTAGTCAAATAAGCCCTGCTTTTAGTTCACCTTGTTAAATCACCTGGAGAGTTTGTGAAAAGTACAACTTAAGAACTAAAGAAAATATCTTTCAAATTATAAATTTCTATTTCCAAAGGTGTGTGTGTATGTGTTTTAGAGATTATCATCTAATCAAAAAGACAATTTGTTCATAAAGAACTCACAGACCCCTGAGTTTAAGAAAGAGCTCAAGACCTAGATTCTGAAAACCCTGAAGCTCTGGGGTGCCCCTTCACCTTTTGAGCCATATTTAAAGATTTATTTTAGAGAAAGAGAGAGTGCCGGGGTGGGGCGGTTGGGGGGCGGGGGGGGGAGTGAGAGGGAGAACAAGTTTTAAGCAGACTCTGTGCCAAGCACAGAGCCCGATGTGGGGCTCGATCTCACGACTCTGAGATCACAACCTGAACCAAAATCAAAGAGTCGGTCACTTAACCAACTGAACCACAGGTGCCCCTATGATTCCCCTTTTAATGTGAGATAAATAACCAGCTCCAAGGCAAGTGCGAGGATCAGATGTGGTCACACTGGAGAGACAATGCATAAACTGACATTCTCATATATAAACAGTTCTCTAGTGAAGTGGCTTCTTGACAGAAGTGTGACCTTGGGCACATAAACTTAACTCTGCTTTTCAGCAAGTTCCCAGTGATGACAGTAACTCCCTCTTGCAGTAGTCGTGCAGATTAAATGAGCTCATGTAGGTAAGCCTCTTAAAACACTGAACTAGCTGTTATTACATCTAACAAAGTGCAGTATTTGGCCCATTCTAAAAAGGGAGTTTCTTATCTGTTAGCAATAGAATGTGGCTTTTTGCTAGAATCCCTAAATTTTGCTAGAAGTCAGTCAGAAAAATAATACCTCTTGTGCTCTGGTCCTTCTATCTCATCCATCTAAGTCTAGGGTTGCAAATTGTCAGATCCATGCTTTGAGGGACAAGAGACTAGCTGAGACCTGGAACAACAACAAGCATTTTAAAATATCATCACTGTAGGGGCACCTGGGTGGCTCAGTCGGTCAAGCGTCTGCCTTTGGCTCAGGTTTTGATCCCAGGGTCCTGGGATCGATGCGGGGTCCTGGGATTGAGCCACGCATCAGGCTCCCTGCTCAGCGGGAAGTCTGCTTCTCCTTCCTCTAACCCTCTCCCCTGCTCATGCTCTCTCTCTCTCACGCTCTCCCTCTCAAATAAATAAAATATTTCTTAAAATAAAATAAAAATCACTGTAATTCTGGGGGCTTCCCAGAACATTGTCCTATATCAACATGGACTGCCAGTGTCCCCTGTGTGTGTGGGTGGCTGTGTCCACTCAGGGAGTCCCTCCGAGGGAGTTCAGCAGCTTTCAGCATGGGGAGCAGGGTAGTGCCACATATCTGTAGATTAGAATTGCGTATGCCAGCAATACATTTCTGTTTCATTCTGGGCAGGCAGTTTCAAAAACTAAGTTTACAGACTCTTCAAAGAAACTGATTTTAACAAGTTTACAGACTCTTCAAAGAAACTGATTTTAACATCAACAACCAAATTCATGCCTGTTAGGAGTAACAAACTGGCTGCTTTTTTAGGTCCGAATGTGCAGCATTATTGTACTTCTGTCTTTTCCCAAGCCTAGAATATCCTTCTCGTCCACCTGGAAAACTCCTCCTTCAAGGGAAGGAACTAGCATCTGCTGAGTCCCAAGGCACTGGGCTCCGCCTCAGGCCCTTCCCATGCTTGACTAGGCAGTCCTCGCCCAACAGTGAGTGCCAGACCCCCCCGCCCCCCGTGACAAAGGAGGACACCAGCTGGTGTCTTCACCTCTGAGCCTCGAGTCACAGGCCAGGCCGCCACACTGCCCAGCTCCAGTTGGTACCAGTCCCAAAGCGTCTGGGTCGCATGCACTGGAATGTGAAAGTGCCCAAGTGGCCCAGCATGGCAGCCCAGGTCCGCTGCTCAACAGATTTAGGATCCAAACACAAGGCAGCAACTCAGCCTTTCTCACCCCCTTCTGCCCCACGGTTCCTGTTGTAAGGGGGGAAAATGTTCAGTCCGCTTCTGTTTAAAACTGTTCAGCCAGCAGGTATTGAGCAATGAGTCTGTGCTTTCATATTATTTCATCCTCACAACAAACAACCTGTGAGGAAAATCCTGTCATCGTCCCAGTTGTTAAAACTGCACATAGTAGAAGTGAATGAGGTCATCAAGAAAGAATGCAAAGTCTGCTTTTTTTTTAATTTAAATGAATATAGCTTATGGTTCTAAAAATTATATATGCTCATTGTAACTAATGGAAACAGAAAAGCCCAAAGTCCCCTGAGATCCCACCATCAGAGACAACCATGGTAAACACTGTGACAAGCATCCTTCATCCATCTCCCACGCACTTATGATCAGTTCCACATAAAATGTTCACGCTGGGCATGTCGCTTTGGTAACGACAAAATGTAAGCATCTTTCCGTCCCTCTACACATAGATCCATTTAATCCTTTTTAATGACTACCTGTAATTAATATATCTATGACTAATACTCTGTTGTCAGCAGACGCCACAGTTTGTTTAAGCAGGTCTTTTGTATCTTATATTCTCTTACATTCTCATTGTCACAATAGCTAGAATCCTGAATTAAGCATTGGGGCTGCACACATAAGTGGATTCAACACTAAGATTTGCTTCTTTACGCCTTTTCTCTACAAGCACTCATTCATCAACAGCAGGCTTCTTCTCTGTCTACCCCCAGGTCCTTCAGTCCCTCATTCACAACCCACCTTGCAGGAATGGTGCAAGAAATGAACCTGTCCGCACTCGCCCTTTTTCATTCAGAAAGCAGCAACACACTCGATCGTGAACAAGTCCCGTGATGAGAAATGTCAAGCTGTGGGTTCACAGAAAGGCACTGGAGCATGGCCATCCTCTCATGGAGATTAGAGGTGACCGTACCTTATCTTTCCTACCCTGATGGAAGTTACTGCTTTGAGTCAGAGTCCTTTGCCAGCTAAAGCCCTGCAGTGAAGGTTATGCTCTTGTCTCAGGGCTGATCTTATCTGTGAGGTTAGCAGCTAGGAGAGCAAGAAGGTGACAGTTCCTGCTGTCCCAACCAGGGCAGGTGGAGAAGGGCTCAGCCCCTGACTCTCTAGGAAAAGCCAGCCTGGCTTTTAGCTGCCTGGGTTCAAGGCTTGTTTCCACCTGTTGTCAAGCTTTCCAAGAACCAGGGTCTCAGACCTCTACGTATTTGGGCGCTGGGCAAAGGATCCTTTCTGTCCATCTA